TATAAACTGCATTAGAAAATATATTTTATTTTTTTACAAAAAATACTATTGAAAAAGATATGGTTAAATTTTTTTTTTAATCAATCTTGATATGTTATATAACAATCTTTTCCACTCAAATGTAAAAATTTTCATAAATTATCATTACTTCTTGTTCAAATTGCAATAAAATTTCACGAGATGTAAAAAATGTTTGGATATTTCAGATATTCTAAAAAAAAATTCATTTTGTGAAACGTTCCATCTTCCGCTTCCCCAGTTACTATTTTAAGATAGATTGGGAACTTTTAACTCGTCGTAAGTTGGCAAGCGTGATTGCGTGGAACGATGCGGACAATCTTCCCAAATTGAAACAATCGAACTGTCTTTTCATCAACCACGGATCGATCTTCGGTTTTATTCTCAAACTTTTCGCAAAACTTTTCACTTTTCGTTTCCGCAAGACCTCCCGCCTCTTGCGTATTTTCCAAACTTTCCACGAATCCCTTTGAAATTGTAGCGAGAGTCTGGTTCCCTTTATTCGATCTGATTAAACGCGATGCCAGACTTGGCTCTTCGCAATTTTCATTTTGATGGAAGAAATTATACGTCCTGGCCAGTTCCTCGAAATCAAATAGCGCCATAAACTGCAGGAACTTTTGCTGAGCAATGTAAAAATACAAATATTTACATTTCATTTAAATATTTTATTACAACATTACGTTCTTTCTTTTTTTTTGTCTTTTTTTAACTACATAAATAACAAAAATGCATTAAATTATTGTCTTTTTCTCTTTTTACACAAATAATTGTTAGATCGACATATTATATAGTATTAAAAATCTAAAAATGTTAATTTAGATCTACAAGAATATACGACACTTAAAGTTATGATTATTTACACGCAATACGAATTTTATTTTTTCATAAAAACAATCATTAACTTATATTTCTGACAAAATATCGGAATATATCATATATATTAAAGTTGAAAAGACGCCATTTTTATTATTCTCTTTTCATATTTTATTAACAGAAAAAAATTCTAATTTCCCCCCCTCCCCTTTTTCTCTCTTCCGGAAAAAAAATTGAACGCGAAACGCACAAATTTTATTTCCCTACGAAACAATCATATTCCTGAGAAAATATCGAAAGATAAGGTATATATGGTTAAAGTTGAAAAGTCCAAACATTTGGCCCGAGTTAGTAGAGATGAAGGAAAAGAGATAAGGAATAAGAAGAAGGCCAGACACGGGCGAAACGATTGGCACGATCGAATCGCGTGAATGTAGCTGTCGTCGATATACCCGTGCGTTTACGCTTTTATCGCTTGGAAACCTTCTCGTCACGGGCAACGATGCATTTATATGCCAGCCTCGTTCAAAGGCAACGACAACCTATGGAAAGAGACTGTCAGTTCCAATGCAACAGATATATCCGTTCTTTCCAGTTCTGGCAGAGAGAGAGAAGTCGTAAAATGTTGTATTTTCGAGGGAGGACAGTGACATCATATGAAACGACACGTCGAGATATGCATATTGCGGCAAATTTTTCGTAACGCGCAGTGTTGTGTATTTTTTTAAATATCGCGAATGAGAATAAAGAGAGCGATGATGGCGTGAAATGAACATTGATGTACTGTCCAACCATAGAGAAAGGTGGTAACTGGTGGAAAAATATAATATATAATACGAGTTGTATTTTTGAATAATCGTTCACATTTTCCAGTGGAATTATATATTTATACGAAACATATCGTAAAATAATATTTGTCTCTCGTACGATTCAATTAATTATACGATAATCATCTATGAATAATTATTAATTAAAAATCTTATTATAATTAAAAGTTAGTAATTTATTAATTTTGCATAGTAGTGACAAGTTTTGTAATGAAACAAAGATGTACGAGTTTTATATTTTAGGTTAGGTTAGATTAGTTGTTCAAGTTACTAGCCTAGTGAATATTCTTGTATAACACGTTTCGCAATGAAACGAATGAAGACTCACAAGTTTTTTTAGATTAATCGATCGAAGGACATACGGTGCGTATTCTTATACAATCAAAATAATACTATTAAAGAAATTTATTATAAGTTAGTACGTTAGTAAGTTCTGTTGCGTAATAAGTAATATGATGAAACGAATGAAGATCTACAAATTTTACTTTTTAAGTGAGGTTATGTTATATACGTAAAGTAAAATATGTATAATTATACATATAATTTATATAATTAAACACTAGTAAAATGAAATTATATTCTAATTTTAAATACCAATATAAAATTACAACATCTTACATAAAAAGAAAACAAGAAATGAATAAAACATTCTAAACTACTTTTAAAGTATAACAAACACAAATAATAATTTTCCTCGAACTTCACTGGTAAAAAAATTCCAAATGAAAATGAAAATTACGCGACATCGTTAATTAAATCATCTCGTGTGAAATAAGTTTTCATTATTTTCGAAAATATCGTTCCTGGAAACTGTTCGGTCCACCGGCAGAGCTATTGTACAATTTCGCTGCAGAGACGACTTGTTATTGTCGTCACGTATTTTTAGTCGAGCATGGAAAATAGGTTTTTAATGGCGAAATGCACGCAAGCGATCCATTTTAATCAGATTTAACTCTTGCGGTTTATACGGTTCGACACACATTGCCACGATGGGTTTCGTTGGATTTTTCAGTTGCGGTAATAAAGGAGATTGAGCAGTCACTTATAGCGGTTGATACATGATATATTACGTATAATACAAAGACAGCTAACGAACCATCTACAAGATACAGTGGAATATTCTTGCTTATTCGAGCTTAAATAAACTTGAATTTATGTCTCATTTTTTTTTTTTTCTTTTTTATTTCTTCCTCGATTCGAGACATCGCATTTCTCGTACAAATGTGCAAAGAATTATTCATTGGATTCTTTTTACAGGATATTTCACGTAATTTTCAAATGATTTTTAATCGATAACAAAATTTTAATTCTATATAATTAAAAAATTCCAATTTTTTGATTAATAACAATACGTGTTAAAATTTTTCTTATATTTCTATAAAATTAACTAATAATTAACTAAATATAATTTTAAAATCTCGTTCAAATCCATTTACGTCTTACAATTTCTCGCGAGATATTCGAATATATTCGCTTAAATAGAGAAGTATATATTTGTCCAGGATAAAAGCAAGATCGTCCACGTGGAAAATTGGGAAATAGCGAGAGGTAATGATGGATAGAGCGGAAGTTGGTCGCTTTGACCGTCACATGGGCCGCGTTTTCGGTAGTGGAACAGGGAGGATTCTGCCTATGCCCAGATGGCTGCTTTGAATTCAAGGAAACGGAAACTTGGGGCTTGCCTACTCGGTGCATTAATTAAAGCGCGCTTCGCTTTCATGTCTGACACACCGGCGACGTTTGGGGACAGTTGTTGAACACTTTGAGAAACGCGTAATGCGAATTAATTTTGCTCGAACAACTCTTCTATTGTCTAATTACGGCAAGAGTGTGATATTTGTTAATGAATATATACTGATTTTTTTTTTCTTTTTTTTTTTTTTATATCTTCTTTTAGATGAAACACTGATTCTTCACTGAGGGAATTAATGAAGTCAGAATAATCCTTTAAATAAAATCTAATTCTAATATTTTTAATATTATATTTGGGAAAATAAATTATTTAAATATTAGGAATGAAAGTCTGGATTCAAAGAATTTTTAAATACATTTAATTTTACAAAAATTGTATGCCAGAAAATATAACCTTCTACAATATTTATTATATAAATTTATTATTAAAGAAAATGATCGAGTAATTTTGTCAAAGTCATAATACAAATTATGATTATTATATATATTTTTTTTAAATTACTGATCAGAAATTATAATACGTGAGAAAATTATAATACCTATCGTGAAATTAATGTCATCGTATTTATCGAAATATTTATTTTATCATCATATCTCTCTGTAATTTAATCATTCTAACTCGATCTATAAAATATTATAGGCATGCATTGGCTACCTTGTAATTATCAAGAGTATGGGGTTCTAGTTTCTCATGTTCAAGTCAAGTTTTTACGTAATTGGAGAGGCTACATTTTTCGAAAAAGTCTGGTATGTAATTAACTTGCCGTGTGATCAAATATATTTTTACTTCGTGAATATAACTTTTGATTTTTTTCAGAAAAGTAAAATTAATATAAATACAAAAGATTTATATACTTTGTGCATCATGTACTTCGAAGAAATAAATTCTCGATTCCATCTTGTATATAAATTTATAAGCTTGCTTAGTCCGGCTGGATTTTTCTTCGAACGATAATTTAAAATCAAGATGATCCGTTATTTTTAGTTGACAATTTTCAAAATTTATCCATCTTCGTAATTACTTACCCGTATTTTATTGTATTTTACATGCATCAAGATTATTCTCTTACTAATTCGCCGATTATAAAAATTATAGAGTTGAGAAATATATATATATATATAAAATAACCTAACCTAACCTAGGTTAGATATAGATTAATTCGAATATTCCAAAAGGAGGTTTGTAATTAAAAAAAATAATGAAACACTATAATTAACAATATAAACTATTATTTATTAATTTTCCTTATTTTATAGAGATTGAAGACCTAACCTAACCTAATCTAACCTAGGTTAGATACATATAGATTAATTCGAATATTCCAAAAGGAGGTTTGTAATTGAAAAAAATAATGAAACACTATAATTAACAATATAAACTATTATTTATTAATTTTCCTTATTTTATAGAGATTGAAGAATCGAAAAAGAGGATATTGCAAGTAACTCCAATACCATAAAAATGATCAGAATCAGAATAATCCTTTAAATAAAATCCAATTCTAATATTTCTAAAATAATATATATATATTAGGAAAATAAATTATTTAAATATTAGAAATGAAAGTCTCGATTCAAAGAACCAAAAAAAAAAAAAAGAAATCATCCCCTTACACGAAACAAGATCTCGAAAATGATTAGAAAACTATTTCCTAACAAAGCCTTTCGTTCATTAAATCTTCCCCCCACCCCCTTCAATGACAATTTTCCCCGTTGCTTCGAAGTTGCATCGCGAAGAAGCGCGAGAAAATATCAGAACCACCCTAGGCCAGACACGGAAGTGCGCACAACTGTTCACGCGGAAGCCAGACCTGTTCACGGCAAAGTATGTACACCGTCTCGCAAGTATATTGTTAAAACATAGGGGGATCCCTTTGATAACGAGCACCGCCGCGGGTCCACCGTCTCTCGGGATAAGATTTAACGAGGATATCGCGGCACAGTGTGTTGTATGCCCTGGTGGGCCGCCGACTCCACTCTCTCTCCCTTTCTCT